TCACTGAAGAGCTGCCAAGAAGAGCTGCTGTTTTTTGGGTGCCCCTGGCACTGCTGCTGTTCCCCCTTACCTTTGGCGAGGGAGATAGTGCAGATTGTCCAAAGGGAAGCGGGCTCCCATCTTGAGTGGGAGAAGGAACGGGTGTCACAGTTTCCCACTTCCTCCTAGAACCATTTCCGCTGTGAGCTAAACAGGGAGGAATCCACAGACAAAGGAACAATTCTGGGAGAGCCCCAACCCACAGCCAGAAGCTACTTCCTCAGAAGTGGGAAGTTATAGGCGAGCCCCCACCTCCTCCCATGTGCAAATGACCTGGTGCAAGGAAGCTGGGGCTTCCCTGGGACCCAGAGCTAGAAACTGGTTCTCCAAGCAAGAGCCCCTCTACTGGGGCAGAGTTGCTGCTGGGAATAGCAGTAAAGACACTGGGCTTCCCTGAGCCTGTCCCCAAGCCTGGCTCCTGGATTGGAACACCAGGTATGCCCACATGACTGCTTCCCCATTGACCTATGACCTTCTTGGCTTCTTATCTCCCTATCTTGCTGATATTACAGCAGGTTAGAGAAATGTGCTAGTCTACCATCCTGGTAATAACCCTTGCTTTACGAGTACAATTCATTCCCCCATCACCCTACACCAACACAGCTCCACATTCTCATACCTAGGAGGAAAATGATGCTCAAAGAGATTGCTACCCAAAATCACCCTGCTTACATGAGGGGAGTTAAAACTCAAAGCAAGTCCTCTGAGACCAAGTCCCCAACCTATATATACAACATTCTCCTGTCCTTGAGCCTCCTTCCTACAAAGCCCTTCTCTCCAGCCAGGAAACCATTGCTGTAATTAACATACACAAGCCTTCCAAGGTTACTTCCGTGGGATAAGACTGACCTCCTGGAAGATGCTAAGTACCAGGCCCGGGCTAGGCAGGCAGAGTGTCTCTACTGCTCCTTGTCCATTCCATTTATACTACAGTCTTCCTATATAACAGGACAACAGGAAATGTTTACTTTGATGGAAAAAAAAAAACAAAAAACAAAAAACCCTGCTAGTCTAACCAATGCTGTCACTTCCCGAATTTTGCCCACTGTTTGGCTGTTCCTTGGTCTTTGAAGGAAGTACTTAAAAGCCATAGGAAGAAGCTGGGGTCCCCTGTGGCCCCAGCCAGGTATATTTGCAGCAAATTGAAAGAGACCTTCAGCAGGGAAGAAGAGAGTCCTGTACCTTCGGATCAAAAGATTCTGCTAGCCTTCCCTGTGGTGTGGGTGGCCTCTGCAGGACTACCCTCCAATTGGGCACCCATTAGAGCAGCATTCTGGAGGAAAGACATCACAACCAGCCCCTCCCATTCTGCCATCCTCAGACCTGTAAAGTTATCACCTATAAAACAGGGCTAGCTTGTTCAGATCAATGCATGTGAATTACGTGTAAGCCTCTTAAAGCAGGTAAACCACCCATGCTGGCCGAATGCCTACAATGTACTGGATGCTGTTCTCTGTATGTTCTCCCATGTCAAGCCATTCCTACTGAGGGGCCATACTTGCAGGTTAACAGTGAAATATGTACAGCAGAGGCTATTTGCCTCAGACATGCATGGCTAAGAAATGGGGAAACAGGGTTTCAACTTGGGGGTTATCTTAGCTACTTGTCTTGTTGCCGTGACAAAAAACAATTTATGTAAGGAAAGGTTTACTTTGGCTCCTGGTTTGAGGTTACAGACTGTCATTAGGATGTGGTTACAGGAGTGTGAGGCAGCTGGTCACAATGTATCCACAAGAAGCAGAGAAGGTGGATCCTAGCTCTTTCTTCGTATCCAATCCAGGTCTGCAGCCTATAGTCTGGTAGTACCCACATTTAGGGGAGGTTTTTCCACCTCAGCTAATCCAGTCTAGAGACTATATTACAACCATGTCCAGAGGTTTCCTTTTGTGGTAACCCTGAATCCCACCAAATTGCCAATCACAGTAAGCCATCTCATACCATTTGTTGTAGTATCTTCTGATTTCCACCTTCTACAATTTAATGTGCTAGAATTCACACCCACCACTAACAGACCAAATCCCTCAATCATTCGCAGCTATATTCCCATGGGGATACAAGACAGAACAGTCTGGGAGCTGAGCCAAGGGAGCAATTGGGCTTTCGTTTCCTTTTTTAACCAGAGCTTTTGTTTTTGTGTTTCTCTTCTTCCAAGCACCTTTTTTCCTCTGCGGAACCATAGTTGGGATGGATGTGTTTGTTTAGAGCACATTAACTAGCTGCTAGACTCTATCAACACAAGAAGAAAACTCATGCCTATAATCCATTCCTTCCACCAGTCCTTCGGCATAGTCTTCATGTTTGGCACGAGCATGTTCCTGTCACATGGAGGAGGCCCAAATGAGGGAAAGTGACAAAAAAAAAAAAAAAAAGATACAAGGGATACTGAGGATTGGAGCACACTACACAAAACAACCTGTGGGCTGATGCTCATAGCACTTGTCAGGAGGGCTGGAAGGCTGAGGCTACATGAGGATACATGAGACTGTTCCCAAAACAGAAAACAGTAAGGAGGTTTCAGTTTTACTATATGAGGGCTGGAGAGATGGCTCAGCTGTTAAGAGTACTTGCTGCTCTTCCAGAAGACCGGGATTGGGTTCCTAGCACCCACATGGTGGCTTACAGCCATCTTTCACATAAGTTTCAGGAAGTCTAATTATCTCTCTGGCCTCTTCGAGCACCGGGTTTATACGTGGTACACATACATATATGCAGGCAAAACACTTACATGCTTAGAAACAAGTACATAAATCTTCTTTTCAAATCTGACCACATGAGATGCCAGAGGGAGAGCTCCATTAAGGTGTAATAGCATAAACTAGGGAATAACAGTGTGGCCAAAAGAACAGAGGTTTCTGGAAGGGAACACAGCAGAGTTGAGCACATAAGGGCCTACTCAGCAGTTGGGAAGGGAAATCTGAGAGTCCAGAAACACTTAGAATGTCTGGGCTGAGAGGGTGAGGACCAACCAGCATGGGCATCCTAGGCAAGGTCTCCCTGGGTCATAGGGAGATCTCTCTTCCCTTTATCTCCAGACCCCAAAGCTCAGTCTCACATCTGGTAAGCTCCCTGCCTTCCGTGAAGGGTAACCACTAAAGGTCCTCCCAGGCCATACCCCATTAATGGGCCTGCATGTTAGAACACAATACACAGAAAGGTTGTCTCCACCTTTCTTTCTTCCTTTCTTTTCTCTCTCTCATTCTTCTCTCTCTCTCTCTTTCTCTCTCTCTCTCTCATGGTTTTATTTTTTTGGTTTAGTTTGGTTTTGATTTTTTGAGGCAGGGTTTCTTTATATAACAGGCCTAGCCATCCTGTTGCCTTGTAGACCAGGCTGGCCTCAAGCTCACAGAGATGCACCTGCCTCTGCCTTCTGAGTGCTAGGATTAAAGGCGTGCGACACCCAAGTGCTGGGACAAAAGACGTTCTGCCACCACGATGGGCTCAGACATCATGAAACAGTTTTAAAGAAATGCCTGTTGTTGTTGTTTGTTTGTTTGTTTGTTTGTTTGTTTGTTTTCTCCAAAGAGATGGCTATGAGAAGGAAATTGGGTCATTTTGCTGCTTGGAAATTTGAGTAAGCAGAAAAAATAAATAAATAATGTAGGGCCTTCATAAAACCTCACAGGTGGCTCTTCTTACTTTCTCATTTAAAATTGTTCTGTGACTTCTCTGACTGTGGACAGGGTGAGTTGTCATTGTTGTCTGTCTAGAGACCTGTCAGGTATGGGAGGCTGGGGAAAGGTGAGCAGGACTTATCTCACCTGCAGGAGCCCAAACCCAGTTTATTTAGCCTGTGGCTTGCAGAAGGATTTAAGGTCTACCTGTTTTCTCTTTTTAAATGGAAATTAGACTCATTACTTACGAGCCCTTTCTATACACCCCACATTTCCGTGTTCTTGCTGGAGTTCTGTGCTTCCTAGCTACTAAATATCCTTCTGGCTGAAGCTGTCCTTGAAGCTGCTTCAGGGCTATGAGCAAGTGACTATTGGGAGCCTGAGGCTCAACCTCTGATGCATGGCATCCTGTTTCCTTTGCTTTTTACCTAGGACTTCGGGGAAGCAGTCCCTAGGTCTCCCAGGAACAATACACATCAGAAGTCTACTCGTGGGTATACCTGTAAATTCCAATTTTATTTGAGAAATCTTTGTACAACCCAGAGAATAATCACTCCTCATCTTGAGTTTCTGTGTCTGAACCTTTCTCTACTCTGACTTGAAAAAATCAAAGACTTATGGACAATTAGACCATTTTTTCCTATTTGTTTGGTTTTAGTCCTTAGAATTCATTATACTTCTCTAAGAATAAACTAAACCAAATAAATTTATTCTAAATAAACTTTAGACATAAAGATTATTCTGTCCTAATGTGTCAAGTCCTTGCATGATTCATGATTCTGTGGACTTGACTGGGGCTGAAGAAATGACAGACAGACAGACAGACAAGCTGGAAAGCTGGAATCAAGTAGACTGGACCCTTTGGTTGAGAAGATGAAGTACCCTGAAAGAGGCAGTGTGTGTGTGTGTGTGTGTGTGTGTGTGTGTGTGTGTGTGTGTGTGTGTGTTATATGGCTGGATGGAGGAGACAGGTATAAACTCTGTAGGGGGCCAGTCTTCAGATCATAAAGATGGGCATCTGGGAAGAGAGCAATGGCGGATGTCTTCTGTATACGTAGTCAGTTTCACACTTGGAGTAGAGGAAGGCTTTGCCATCCCTCTGAACCTGTCCCCTGGGGAGCAAGGAGACTTTGCCATTTTCCCATGGGTCTGAGGCTGTTTCCTTAGATGTGCCTGTGCCCATGTCAGCAGCACACATTCACTCATGCTGATACCCTAGTCTGTCCCACCAAAAGCTTATGTTACCTGGACCAGGAGTAAAGGAGAGGGACAAGTTATGAATGGGTGACATGAATGGGTGACAACAGAGGCCTGGCTCATGGGTGGCATTGCCAGTCCCTCTAAAGAATCATGTCCCCTCACTTGCGCACCTTAAGTGAGAGAAGGGTCTCCACTGCTTTCTGCCGCTACCATTGCCAGCTCAGCTCAGGCCCAGACCTGTGAGCTGTCCTCATGGTGAGACTGGCAGAGTCCTTGTTCTTGCATCCCCTGCCTCCCCCCCCCCCCCCACACACCCCTAGAGAACCCATCTGGGAGCAGACATAGAAGAAGACTGACTGTCTGGTGCTATCTCCCTGTCGGACCACTCACAGCAGCCTGATGGGGATGAGTTAGGAAGTGCTCGGAAGGTAGCTACCATAGTGCCAGTGGCTGGAACGTTCCTGAGGCAGTGGTCCCATCTGGATTGTCAACCTCGTCATTCACTCCAACTTTAGGTTAATGCCTAATGCCACAGAGAGATGGTGTCACTACCTGTCCCCAACAGTACCTCTGTACAGAAGACTTCTGCTTGAAACAAAGTCCAAAATGTGGATCAGGCTGCAGCCTAGACACTTAGAAAGTGAGGCACCCCAGTGTAGTCCACCCTTGGGAAACCTTTTGCATATCCAACATGAGTAGGGTGAATTCCGGGGCAGCAAAATGCCTGAAGTGTGGTGTAAGAACCCCTCGAAACCCCCAGGTAGCTTGTAAAAAGTCCCACGAATTGAAGCCTAGTACTCTGGCCCAAGGTCACTAAAGTGAGGACCCGCCTAGGACCCCAGCCTTTGCAGGTTCACACCAGCACTTCCTTGTCCCCTGGGGAGGAGAGAAACTAGTGAATCTCCAGGATTGCTAGAGTGAGGACCCGCCTAGGACCCCAGCCTTTGCAGATTGGCACCAGTATCCCCTTGCCTCCTGGCGAGGGGAGAAAGTAGTGGATATTTACTACTTTCTATTATTCTACTATTTAGGAGAGTAAGGTCCTAAACAGAAGTCCAAGCCCTTCTAGTGACTCCTGGTGTCCTCTCTGTCTTGGTTCCTTTACCTAAAAAGTAAGGTGATCCTGACACCTACCTCAGGATCATTGGTAGGATCAAATAAGACTGTATAGTTGCCTGGCCAAGAGAATAGGACAAGGAGTCGATGGAGACTCTCATAGCTATTCATATTTCTTTGCATCTTCATTCCATCCTTTATGTAATGGTGACAATAAAATACTTGATCTGGGGTTTAGATGATAGAAGATAAAGTCTTGTTAGCACAACATGCAATAACTGTTCAACACAAGTTACCATGTGCAAGTGTCTGTCATAAAGCAGGGATTTGCTACTGTTGTGATGAAGCTGGTCATTGGCCCTCAGGCAAAAGAAGTCCTCTATGGGACAGAGAAATGTCAATGACATCATGGTCTTGGCATGCTCCCATCTTTAAAAGACTCTCTGCTCTGAGATGTGTAATTTGCTGGGGTCTCTGACCTGGGAACTTGTCAGAAGCACAGAATCTCAGCTCCCACCCCAGACCTCCTGAATGAGAATTTGCATTTTGGCAAGAGTCCACATGATTCCTGTGCACACTTGGGCTTGAGATGCACCAGTGTCTGGGAGGAAAGAACAGCAGTGATTGCCTTGGGCATGGAGTAGGAAGGGTTAATGTTTGGTTCCGGCACAGGAAACAGAAGGTTCCAGAGATTGAAGCTTGTGAATGGATGAAACAGGAAGGCTTCCTTCCTGCCTGTGTTCTGGGCAGCTGGGGACTCTGGCTGAGATATGTGTGGAGCTCCTGTGCCTACAAATCAGGCTGAGGCAAAGGAAGACCATCCAGCTCCTGCTCAGGGTGGCCTGGGCTCAGATGTGCCAACATAGACACCCCAGTCCTCAGGCCAAGGCTGTCTGAGGTCTAAGATAGAGTAGGAAGACTGGAGGAAAGCCATCAGGTTTAAGGCAGGGCCCTCCCCAGAGAGGTTAGGGACCAGCTGTGGGACAGCTGGGGAGGGGGGACTGTTGTCTCCATTGTAAACAAGGCCCTGCCTTCTGGCCCCTACTGTCCTGGCCTCCAGTGGCTGGGGACAAGATCTTAAGTCAGGGCCTGACTGTCCCTCCCCAGTGCTGGAGCAGCTAATCCCAGAGCTCACTGGGCTCCTCAGCCTCCTGGACCATGAGTACCTCAGTGACAGCACCCTGGAGAAGAAGATGGCTGTGGCCTCCATCCTGCAGAGCCTGCAGCCCCTCCCAGGTCAGTCCCGAGGAATCCCACTTACACAGACAGCAATGGTACCATTCTCTCCAGAGCCTGCATAAGGGAAGTCTAAGCCTCATAGCATTGCAGGTACTATGCCGTGACCCGATATGCTCATCCACCCAGGCCCTGCCCCTGTACTGCAGTCTTGGTTATGGTTATATCCTTCTTCATCCCCAAGCCTCCACAGACTCACAGAACACGCATACTCTTACCTCACCACACATGATTCACAGCATAATGTTCTCACACATAATACACCACATATACCACACATTACACACAGTAAACACTAACATATGCTTACATGAATACAGCAATACACATGCTTTGGCTACACTATACTGTGTACGTATGTGTGTGCAACATGCAGTTGCAAATAGTGGTGCACTCCTGTATGCTCTCTGACACACGCATCCCCACAAGTAAAACAGTTCCCATGACTTTGCACATGCCCCCTCTAAAACCATGCATGTGTGCCTCACTGCCCACCTAGCAGCTTGCCTCAGCCTCTCTGAGACACTGCCATTCAGCAGACAGCATACTGTCTCTTCATAACTAACAAACTGTACCCCATCCTGACAGGGCTCCTGGAGTCTGAAGGATGAGGTTGAAAGTCACCACTCAAACAGAATGTCACCTGCTGCCTCACAAGATCATTGTGGGGGGGGGATAGGGAATATGTGACAGGGACAAAGGTTCTTCCTCACTGGAGCCCTTTTTCCTCACTGACCCTGAGCTGACCTATAGCAGCAGTAGGCTTCTATCACTGAGATCACAATCACAGTGGCAATGCAAACAAGTGGAAAGAAGTGAGGTAGCCTTCCCTCCTCACTGGTTTGTCCTCCTCCCTCAGCTAAGGAAGTCTCCTTCCTATATGTGAACACTGCAGACCTGCACTCAGGGCCCAGCTTCGTGGAATCCCTCTTTGAAGAATTTGGTAAGTTCCCTGCCCTGACCTTAGCCTTGAACACATATACACACGTGCACACACACATACACACGGAGTACCAGCCTTGTGTTGCTCTTGGCTTTCACATTCAGCCCTTAAGTCTCCTTGGGCTCCTGTGCCTCTGGCAGCTCTGAGAGCCTATATCTGTAGTTAAGGGTCTACCCCAAGCTTGCAGGCGTGAATGTGCAAGCCAAGTAGCACAGCACGGAGTGGTTACCTTGCAGCCACTGCCATCCATCAGTCGTGGCCACTAAACCTGGCTGAGAGGTTCAGCAACTCAGCAGAAAATAGGAACTATGAGAGGGAGGGTCATAGCTGGAGAGCAGCCAGCTGGCTTGTGGGAGAGAAGGCACCATGTGGCCATCCTAGAGAAGAAAGTATTATATCTAAGGAGAAGTCTATGGCCTAGGAGAGTTTCTAAGGCAACAGTCTCTGTACAGCAGAGAGACACAGGAACCCCATACACATACATAGGAACTCCCATACCTCCATGTCATACTCTCAAAGACCTCCAAAGCACCCCACAAAGGTATTCTACTGTGACCTCTGTCTAGAAGCCAGGCAAGACAGATTAGTGCAACCAGCCTCTGGAAGAAGCCCAGGGCACTCTATTCAGCTGCTTGTGCAAGTTACTAACGATGGAGATAGCAGGGCCTGGCTTCACAGGCAGACCTCCGGACTCCAAACCCAGCTATCTTTCTCCTCTGCCACCTTGGTTTTCTCTGTAGACTGTGACCTGGGTGAACTTCGGGATATGTCGGATGATGGGGAACAACCCAGCAAGGGAGCCAGCCCTGAGCCAACCAAGAGCCCGTCTCTGAGAAGTGTGAGTTCTGGCCTTGGCTAGCAAGGGTAGGGGAAGGTCTTGCTGTAATCACAGGGGCCACTGCTGCTGGGCAGGACCCTCTGTTCTCCATGGCGATGGTTAAGGGCAGATACAGTGCTGTGTGGACCATGGTGTGCCTACTGTGGTTCCTGCAGAATAAGGGAGCCTAGTCTGCGCCCTCTGGCCTGAAAGACTTCACCAGCCAGCCTCAGGTTATATGCACAGGTGAGAGGGAAAGCTCTGGACTAGAAAGGGGGACTTCTGCCCTCCCCACTGCTCTGCATTAGGCTGTGAGCCAAGCACTTTTCTTGGAGCCCGAGTTCTTCACACTTACAAAGTAAAGGATTCAATCTAATGTTCCCAGCCATGGGACTATACAGTTAGAGACAAGCTTTGCTTGTCAACCACAAACTTTTAGCATCATCACCTCCATCACAGGTACTAGTTGTTAATCTGCTATGCCCTTTAGATGCATACAGAGAGTCACCAAATGTGCGTGGCACACTTACTGTACCCATTTTACAGATAAGGCTCCAAAAAGCTGAGGTTTCCTGGCCCCAAATTTCACTGCTCACTCAATTATATGCCTCATGTTTTTACTTGCTCTGTTGCTCCTTGTGTGGTGGCAGAGCTCACACCCATGTTGGAGAACTGTGGGTGTGTCCACTCAAAAGCACAACAGCCACTCTTGAGAATTTGCAAAACTCTTGGACATTACAAAGGAGCTCTGACACTTGCAGAAGCAGGGCAGCATGAAGAGGTTCTCAGGTTGCCAGCTCTGACTCTAGTAAATGTTAGGGACTACACCCAGCACAGCAGCACATGCTGTAATCCCAGCACGCAGGAGGGAGAGATGGGAGCATGGCAGCTCGGGGCCAGCCTGGGCTACATAATGAGACCTAAAACACAAAACAGCCTAGAGGTTCACATTCCA